GTTGTCGTAGTAGTTGTAGCTGTAGCTGTAGCTGTAGCGGTAGCTGTAGTGGTAGTGGTAGTGGCAGTGGCAGTGGCAGTGGTAGTTGTTGTTGTTGTTGTCGTTGTCGTTGTCGTTGTCGTTGTTGTCGTTGTTGTTGTTGTTGTTGTTGTTGTTGTTGTTGTTGTTGTTGTTGTTGTTTATGTCGCTGTTGTTGTAGATGTTGTTGTTGCTGTCGCTTTTGCAGTCGCTGCTGCTGCTGATATTGCTGTAGCTGCGGTTGCTGCTGTTGGTGGTGGTGGTGATGGTGCAGAGGCGGTGGTAGTGGTGGCAGTGGCGGGGGCCGTGGTTGGTTGCAGCTGTCGCTTCGGCAGGAGGAGCGGGAATATCAACAGCACAGTGGCAGTATCATCACGAATAGTTAGCATGGTAGCAGCACAGGCCGAGTGTCCGAGGACAAAACATCGATCCGAATGCTGACCTTTTTAATCTCGCGGGAGAGGTCCCTTTTAGACCTTCCTGCTAGAGTCGGCTTAGCTGGAAACTGACGTGATGCTGAGACCAGGGGCTACTTCCCCATGTCACGCTGCGGTGGCTTCTTGAACTGCTCGAGGAAGATGCCACAGGGCTTGTTGGTCCTTGGCTCTACGCTCAGGCTGTTGAGCACCATCTGCTCTCGGCAGCACGAACGAGAGACTTCGCAAAGCAAAGAAAGAACTCCAATTCCATGATTCAGGTCCTGCATGTTAAACACCATTTGTGAACGTTTGCTGATTCCGTCAGCCGAGCTGGCGTCCAAGAGTCTGCTTGCGGAATTCCTCCATGTACAGCTTCCTGGGGCGCAGTGTCAGGCGTTGGCACTGGCCAGACAAGCCATGAAAAATCCCTCGACTCTCTGCATTGAACTCGCGACCCTGCGTAATCCGGAAATAACAGCCCACTAGATTGCTGCTAGGCTGACAAACGCCAAAGCCCCAACGGAATCGGCCAGTCAAACTGCTTGCTGACGGTGTTGCTTCTGCTGCTCGAGCAAATCGATTCGCTGATTCGCGGTGTTGATTTGCTCCCTGGGAAGAAGTTTGGGTTCCGGGCCTGGGAAGTAAGCTGGATGTTCAAGATCTTGGGTCAGCCCATGGCCGCTTCGCAAGTTTAAACCTGCTCTACACAACGAGCGAATGGGTGACCGGATAGTTAGTTTATCAAGGCGACCCATCCGATACACAATGCATCCAACCCCCGGCACAATCCGGATCCAGGCAAGCTGAAACAAGTCCGTCCGTGGTGGCTGGCAGAAGCAGCTACGACAGCTACGAAGAAAGTTTTTCTCCACCGAACCAATCCCGGGAAAGTAGCCGCTGGGTTGACGGCATATGCCTCTACATGCCTATCTGCCTGCCTGGCATGAAAAAACATCTCAAACGACTCCCTTCTGCTGCAGGCTTGCAAGCAAGAACGCCTGGTAGGTAGCCACTCTTCCGCCAGCCAGCACTGTGCTCGTGACAGCACTCCCAGCTTCTGAGCATGCGAACTTGACTGAAAAGGCACACCAGTCCGAACTCACCCAAAGGATTCCCTAAACCCTCAACCCTACTCTACAGCCTCGCCTGCAGGTTGCGAGAGCCCAAGCCCTGAAGCCCCAAAATAGGTGTGCGTTTGCAAAGCTGCGGTGTCGTATGTGGGTGGTTGTCAAAATTATGGTCCCTTTTTGGGTCCTTATAATAATACGGCACCTAATATTTAGGGTACCCCAAACAGGGACCATAATTTTGACAACTACCCATGTAGGCGATGCTCGGCCTCAGCTCGTCCAGGCGAGCATTGCGGTCCTCGGCCGCCGCCAGAAGCTGCTCCCACTCCTCTTTTTTTGGGCGAGAAAACCAACGACGGTAAAGGGTTACAGTAGTGATATGGACAAAATGGTGGGGTTTCGGCGCAAGCGTGTTTCGGGACAACTTTGCGTGGGAGAGCAATTAAAAGCAGCTAGAAGACACCCTTGATGAACTATGCCTGTCATCAAGAGCTGATGCGGCAAACGCAGATCTCTTTCAGCAGTTCCACAGGGCACGAATCAGGTTCAGCGGTTCCACACCGGGCACGAGTCAGGTAGGTTTCAAACAATGTCTCTCTTTGGAGAGACTTTGACATCCATTCATGCACGTCACTACTTAGATGACGAGGCATGTGGCCACCTTCAGAGAGTCATAGTTACCTCGCCGATTACCCACCTTCCCGTTGTGTCCGCAGGCACAAAGCTTGCCATGCGGTGTGGGCCACAACCACTCGATATGACATCTTATGTGATCCACGTCAGTCGTATATGCGATCATATGTAAACTGTAGCTATGTAGACAGCAAACAACCCATATTGAGGTGCTGCCTGTCCACTTCTACAGCGTGTCGGGCCCCAGACAGAATGAAGAACTCACCCGAAACACAATACACCAACGTGCCCAAGAACCCCCCCGTCCGCCACAGCAAAAATGAAATTCGTGTCGAGCATCATTCCCGAAATCCAGAGTCGATCGTAAGGCAAGGTGCCGAAAGAGCTGCAAAAATACCACTGGATTTTGTCTTCGCCCTGAGGGTCTTGCCACGCACGAGGCCGTATATACCATTTTCGAGCCTGAAGACTCCCTCCTCCCATCAGCAAAGAAAAAAACAACGCCAAAACTTGCTTTTGTACCTCCATGACCAAAAAATCCGACGAAGGAGGGGAGTCTAGGCAGAGACAAGGGCAACGCAGCAATTATCGAGGCGTTTGGTCAAACTGCTGCTACAGTTACAGAGCATTGTCTCGCAGCTACCCAAGAAAGTGATGACAAACGTGCAGAGCATCCAAAAAAGTGCCACAGATCAACCTGCGAGGACCAAGTGCTGCGCGGTGAAAACATCCCACAGGGCATAATTGCATGCATCTACGGATGCACAAGCATACAGAAGGGACGTGGCATTAGCATTAGTATATGCGTGTGCATATGGGCATCATGTATGTCTGTATGCATGCATGTATGATGCATGTATGTGTGCTTGGGTGATAAGCACAAACCGCAACATAGACCAGAGAATGGACGAGCAAGACAGAGAAAGACAAACATGAAGAGAAAAACAGAGCGGGCGTGAGAAAGAAAGAGACGGAAACACAGTTGTCCACATGCACTTCTTTGTGAAGGCACCTGTCTTCCCCAATATACACACCTGCCGCTCTTGCGCTGTCTCCTCGTTCTGCTTCTGGTGCCGCTCCTCCGCATCCTTTGACAGTCATGCACAAAACAGGCCACGGGCCGTGGCTGCCGCGGTGAAATACTTGTTTTCAAACCCAGTACTTTGACAGGGTGCAACTCGAACACATGTCAGGCACTGATCTTCGCCTACCAGATACAAACACGGCACAAGCAATTTGCAATGCCAGACTAGCAACACTGACCCCACAGACCCACAGAGACTTGGCGAGCGCTCGACTACACTGACAAACGACGAATCTCCTCCTACACCATCATATCATACTGTTCTGAACACCCCGTGGCATTTTGCACGAGTGGCCTTGATCGCATCCTTCTGCGCAAGATAGCCTTTGCAGCACACATGCTCCGAATGTGCGCCACGACCAAGCCCACGACGGTCCCAATGAACTCCGCAGTCATGCAGTATCAAGAGGTGATGAACTATAGGTGGCAAAACCCATCATGCAAGAGTGACGAACGTGATGAAAGGCGAACAGGTGGCTCTCGTGGATATCTCTCCGAGCATCAACAGTTCGCTGATAAAGCGTCTCTTTCTTCTGCAGTTCGTCATCCTTGAACCTTGGCCACTCAGTCGTCCACATGCTCGCAGACTGTTCTCAAGAAGCTGCATTGGGGAGAATGGGTTGCAGCCAGGCGCATGATCTCGTCACGATGCCGCTTCAAAGACTTCTGGACCTGCTCAGAGAGTCGCTCTCCAACAGCACAGGAAGGCCCGGAAGGCACGAGTTCAAATCCAGGGCATGAGGTCCGCTCTTGACATGACCTTCTTCTCGCATTGCCGGTCCTGGAAAGTCTTATCGGCGAGAGACACATCGGGACCTTGTTCAGCTCCGCAGAAACCGTGTCTTTCGCCGAAACTGCCGCGCGGTGCTCCTCCACCTGTCATTCCCAAACATCGACTCAACCTTAGGCCCTATGCTTCATCATCTGCCACAACTCACACCGGTCCTACTCCATTGCTTCCCTCTTGCATACCGCAGCTGCAGTAGCAGCACATACGAATGACTGCCAATTCCAAGACTCGGTTGAAGTCCCTCGGCTGGTATGGTCAAACCTTTCCACTTTTTGTCAACCAACCTGCTGGCGGAACATTGACGACAGCATCGCTGCATCTGCGCAGAGGCCTGGTGCGTAGAAGTTCATTGCGATGGGGGTTTCTTTCAGCAGCATCTTATTATGAGGATTTGGTCGCTAGTGTTACAAAAGCAGATCTACGCATCGAAGAGTGCCTGGTGTCCGCGAGTGCTCACATGAACGCTTTCCACGATCAGCTCGAGGTATTTGCAGGCACCGTCTTGAGATGTCTTTGAGACGCTGCAGAAATGAAGCTTTCAGCAGGGTTGCTATCCACCGAAGCCCAGGTCTCCTGCAACAGCACCTTGATCTTCCTGGGCAGAGCTCTCTTCTTGCCTGCTGTTCTCTGTCCAGGGTGAGCGGTCCATGCTTCTAACGTCTTCCTCACCATCGATATCCTCTCTCTCTGCCGTGCCATCATCAAGAGTCTCGCTATGCAAGGGCACGAAAAGCGCCATCAGTATAGAAGACACAATTTTCTTGACAAGGGCCCGGGGGCGACGCAACTTTCCGCCAAGTCTCTCCAGTCGAGGCAGATTCTCGTTTGTGACCTTTCTGCTGAAGGCTCGACGCAAACGCAACCACATCACATAGAGGTTTGCACAACACGCATGCTTCTCGACAACATCGTTGGATGCTACAAGTACGAGGGCTGGAGGTCCCCCTCACAAACTGCCCCAACCAGGGCGCACCTTCTGATTCCGCTCCTTCAAGTCACTGAGCTCCTGGGGACCCACGATGTGAGGCAGCAGGGCCTTTACCCATGTGCTACCTGTACAACGTACATGAGCGAGGCTTCTTCAAGCTAATGAAGGAAAATTCATCCAGCAGTCGTTCTCTTGCTGTCGAAAGGAAGAATCGAGCTTGACCAGGTTCACTGCCAGAGCACAGCTCCAGACAGTCCACTCCGAACATCTGACTCAAAATTGAAAACATCTGACTCTCGCGCAGGGTCCTTCTGTACGTTGTGAGTCTCGCCCCGGACGTCCTGCAGCGCCTGAGCAGAAAGTGGAGAGGGCATGGTTTGTCACCTATTCCGCTCACTGGCGTCGTTTTCTACCCATCGGCCTTTCGTGCGCGCAAGCACGATACCTGCCATCTGTGTTGTAGTTCAAGGCCAGCTGGGACACTGCCCTGACACCCCACCTCACCCCAATGAACCCGGCGACCTTCGTGGTCTGAGATTAAAACTTTGCTGGCAGCCTCGAGGTATGCTGGGCCGCACACTGTACGTCGGCAACTTTGAGATGTTTATGTCTCTGCCCCGTCGCAAGTCGCAGTCCGAACCGACAAAGAAGCTGATCGGCCCGTTATGTGCACACATGCATTCTTGACATGAACTTCCCTCTTCGTCCCACGACAAGACAAGCTCTGCTCTAATCAAGCCCGAGTCACATGCTCAAGCTTCGTCTTCTGGTTCAGAAGCGTCTGAGAGACTAAATCCTGCCAGGATCCGGTTGTCGAAACGACTAGGGACAAGGGCATGAGGCTTGAAGTCTTCGAGCTAGCACAGCGAGGTTACAAATGCTCCGCGGGTTCTGGGCGGCTTGAGGGCAAGGGCAGTTCGCTCACGACCCAGCTGCAAGGGGAGAGCCCCAATCCCCGGAGTGAACGAGGCAAGGTGAAGTCAGGTGAGCTTGTACCCTCACGACTGCCACCACTCGCAAGACCATTCGCCGCAGATCCCGGCAAAGGCACCTTGTCAGCGATCTTGGCCGTAAGCTGCTCGAGGCGCTGATCCCAAGGAGTGTGACCTCGTGCTCGTGAGAAGAATCTGAAGTGATGCACAGCTGAGGCTGAGACCAAGTAAACGTGAACGATCTGCGTTTTTGTCAGTGCAGGCACTGACAGCTAAGCATGCAACCTACTATACTCTTGGATGCGAAACTCCAACCGCATTGCAGAATGCTCCTCGGCCCTCGTGTGAAACTCCCAGCCGCCCCGCACGTTCAGGCTCCATGTAGAGCTAGACCTCCTCAAGCTCACGTCCGGTCAGCAACAATTCGGAACAGAATTAAAAGATTCCCTTTGCTCCCATTCAGAATCCGACCTCTGCCATCTACATCCACGCCCAGACCCTCCAAAACTCATCAGAGGAGCGTGAGGCTTTGCTCTGCTGTAGCTCGTGGTCGAGTTTCGAGACTGGGCCGGGGGACTGGCGGCTTCAGGCTGCAGCGTTTTGCAATTCGCTTCAGGACTCTCGGACAAGCTTTGGGGTCTTCGAGCGAGTCACCCCCTCTGGCAGATCTCTATATATATATATATATACACACACATATATTCATATATAGATATACATATACATATACATATATATATATATATATATTTGTATATATATAGATATATATGTGTATATGTATATGTATATGTATATGTATATGTATATGTATGTCCTGTAATGTCATGTAATGTCATGTGGTGTAAGGTTATGCATGCATGGATGGATGTATGTATGTTTGCATGTGTGCATGTATGCATGGACGGATGGAAGGATGGATGGATGGATGGATGGATGGATGGATGGATGGATGGATGGATGGATGGATGGATGGATGGATGGTTGTTTGGTTGTTTGTGTGTGTGTGTGCGCGTATGTGTGCACTTGTATCTTACGACACAAACCAGCTAAAAAAATACAAGCTGAACAAAGGCCGGTCGAGCTGGACAGTGTCGAGTCACGAGTCACTGGCTTTATGATGGCCGCAAGGCCCCTGTTTTACAAGCCCACTCAACTGACGGATGCTTTCATACCGGCACATCCTTGACCCTGGCATGCCCGATCGAATCTGGATGTTGCCGAGCTTCACTTATCAAAGAGCTCGGTGATCTCCTGTCGAATATCCTCACTCTTTACGAGCCTCGGAGATCGGTGAATTCTTTGAAGGGGACTCTCACTTCGATGACCGATGCCTTGTTGAAATACCGGGGATGCGGCTTGCCGTTCCTCCACTGAATCGTCTGCCCGAACCTCGCTATCCGATGTCAGCTCGACGTTTGCAGTTTTATGCATGCACTGCCTTCTTGAACCGCAGCTTTACACCGTGTCCTGACGTCGGCATGTGACTCCATGCATGCAGGAGGCTTCATTCTTCTCAGCTGCTTCTCCATTGCGTGCCTCAAGCTTTTGGCATGGACTCCGCACAGCCAAGGAGAGCAGCTTCAGGGGAGGATATAGCCAATAGCAGTGTCTCCCCGATACTCGCATACATGAAGCCTGCGGTTGCTGTGATGCAGAGCGGCGTAGAGCGCAAGATTCGCAGAGGGGGGAGGGACGACTCCCGAACTCATGCCAAAGCCATCGCCATCGCTCACTTCCAGGACCGTCTCCCCAAAAGAACACCAGAAGTTTGGAAGCTGCATCATGTAGCAATGTAAAGGTATCTGTGCATCCAGGACACATCTCCTTAGATCCAATTGGGCAAAGGAATCTGGCATGTCTGGAAACAGCCATCAGCAGCCACACGAAAAGGCACACCCTTCCGGGCCCAATCACGTTGCGAACCTAAGGATATGAGCCATGCAGGCGAGCAGCGGCTGCTCCGAAACTAGTTGTAACTAGCTGGTCGTCAGTCAATACTCGATGCGTTACGTCACCTGTCCCAAACAACAACCCCGGAATCCCTCTCAGAGACTTGCTGAGCACCGTATCATGCCAGCTTGCTGAGAAGTGCAGGCCTGAAGACCTGCCCCGAATTGAGTGTTCTCGAAATTCCTCAAACAAACATGGCCAAGCTGCTGCGAACATTGCGCGGAAACGCGTGGGAAGATACCTCGGGATGACAAAGCTGACAAGATTTCCAACTATTGGTACAGCCTCTCTACCGTCGTCGATGCCTCGTCTTACACCCCTAGCACGTTGCCATCGAACATGGCAGGCATAGCTCAGCTTGTAAGCCCCGGGATCGCATCATCTCCATCGGCACACAGAGGCTCTGCCTAGTGAAAGCTCGAAAGGGAAACCGCAGTTCTGTCCAAAGTCCCAGCAGCGACGGCTGCGAAATAACATCGTTGCCCATCGCATGTGCGCTCCTCAGGTCGGCTCCCATACTTCCCAGACTCGCACCGGACCAACCGGATCTTTCGGGAACTCAGAGCGTGGCTTGACGTACGCGTACGGCCCGTCTTCCTCTGCCTCAGCACGGACAGAAAGCTTCCACCAAGACGCCTTCTGCGGGTTACGTGCTTCGAAGCCATCACAACGAGGTCGGGGAGCAACCGGCAGTCGAGCAAGCGTGTAGAGCTCTGGCGGTTTGTCCTTGGTTCGAAGCTAGGCCCAGGGCGTTCTTCCTACACCCGGCTGATACCATCTAATACCACCCATCAAGGGGCACATTTGCAGGCGAAAGCAGTGCGACGCGACTCGCACTACGCAAATGAAAGCCCCAGTGCCATGTTCCAGCTCCCCAACACGTTTCTAAGCAAGCTGCCATCTTCCTAGACTGCGCCCGCACGAGCTCGGAGAGCTGTGCCTGAGGAGGACTGAGACATGATTTTTGGTGCCCGGGCCTGAAAACGCGGATTCGGGGCACTCTAGTTTTTGGCAATCCTTCAGGCGGTCTTCTTTCACAGTCCACTTACCCGGACTATGGGGGCCGCCCAAGCAGCACCACCAATCGTCAACTCCCTGCGTTTATGACCCAACAACACACGAGACTGTGACATCGCCCAAAGTGCCTCCGTCCGCTGAATTTCCCCGGAGCATCCCAACTACACGGTGGCATCATTCTAAGAAGGAAATACACATAGAGGAGACAACAAAGATGCTCATCTGTGGCATCATACCAAAGCTGCAGCGATGCTACCATGCGGTCATCACTAGCCGCCGGCGCCCGGCCAAGTTCAGCATGGAGCACCTAAACTTGCCACTCTTCGTGCGTGGGTCTTCTGCCGGGCCGATTGCGCTCTGAAGATTTGGAAAAATCTGGCCTTGTCGAATTGCACTTGAGAACGATGGGCTACGACGCTTCCACTTGTGTAGAGCTCGATCGTACTACCCAAAGGCTGGGTATAGAGCTTGCTGCTTCTTGCAGTCTGGGCACGGCTTGCTGATAGAGGATTGAATCGATCCTTAGCAATGTGTCGTGTTAAGAATGCATGCAGAAGGCACGTCTGCATCAGCCACTAAACCACTGTCTTGTTGCCTGCGAAATACAGGAGGCTGACAGGACCGCGCGAGTCCGACACAAAATTGGCAGAATCCGATGCCCGAACTCCTTCCTGGTGGTGATTCTAAGAGGCATCCCGTCATAGCTGTGCACACTTTGGAACATGTTTATGACCTGCGAGGTTCCCGGATTCGGTCTCCGAAGCGGGCCGGGAGACAGCTGTCGTTCTTGTGTCGAAAGCATCCCGGCCCCAGTGCCGGCTGATGCAAGCCCCCAACACCCTGCAGTCCGAGTGTCAGCTCCGACACCAAGGCATCACGGCAGTTCCTTGGTAGTGGGGTCATGTCAAGGCAAGCCCGCCCCAACCGCCCCGAACCCAAAGACACGTCAGACTGCAACCAGGGTCAGCAACCCCACGATGTCGGACACACTGGGAAGGCGCTGCCTCAGGCACGGAACGGAGGAGCCCAATAGGTCTGAGACTTTCCAGCTCAAAGGCTTGAACTTGGGTGAGAAGCCAGGCATTGCTACTGTCGCATCTCTAAGGAGGCTGCTTCAGCGCATGGCTCGCAAACACCTCCGGGCATGGCGCAGCTCGGTCAGGAGCTGGCAGTTTTCGGCACAGCGTTTATGTATGAGTCGAGAACCTATGACGCACTCTGGGGGGTTGCATTGACATTGTGGAGGGCCAATCCTCCAATCAAGCCTCCAGCTGGGCCTCTGCAGTGGCAACAACAGCCTCCCAGCTCTCCTGTCATGGTTTCGCTGGGCGCATGCGAGCTATTCACCATACATAACGACGTCAAACAATGGTGGTGGTGATGGTGTGGGGTGGTTTTGTTGATCTTATCCATCATCACTTGCATGCTGAACAGTGGCAGTGACGGCAACAATATGAGCATCAGTATTAAAATCGGCAACACCGCACAAGCAGCGTCAACATCATCGTCGCCACCACCACCATCGCCCTCTCAGCAAAGAAATCGCTCATGAAAGCGATGAGTGATCTTCGAACATGCCTGTGGGCATCTGAAGCCTTGACCCATGTCTTGCCAGCACAGTTGCGGTTGACCCGACTCCAAGTACACTGGCCCCCAAAATTCTCGGTCTCACATCCCGTGTGACAGGCCCCAATCAAGTTCGTCTTCGCTCCCGCCGTCTCAGTCCTCCGACTCGGCGCCCAGCGTTGTGAACCTGAGCGCTTACGTGCTTCTTGCGCGTGGGACGGCTTCTTGGCTCAAGGCAGAAATGCCAGGGTGAACATCACCCTGGGATCAAATGGGGCTGTGAGTTGTGTTTGGCTGCCGAGCGGCTCGTCCAGGGAGTGCATGAAGAAAAGGATGTCTAGCCTGCATCAATGCCAGCTCACTCTATGCCCACGGCCAAGCCTTCACCGCATTGGAGAATCGGTGGCAAGACCAAGGTTCAAATGGATGAACGGCAGAGTATGCTACTTGCAAGTTGTCAATGTGTGGAACATGCTCTGCCGAATCCTCTGTGAAACTTTCAAAACCGCAACGCGAGCTCCACCGCGGATCACGGACATTCAGGATGATTAGAAAACGCAATACAATCTGCGGCCTGAGGCGGTTGATGATACAACCTCGGGTGGCACTTGGTACTCTCTGCGTAATCTTCCCATATATTCGAACACCCAGCTCTTTTTTTTTCTCTCTCTCTCTCCCTCTCTTTCTTTCGCCAGGGCTATGGGCAAGGGGAAGCTCCCCTCTCTCTCTCTCTCTCTCTCTCTCTGTCCCCCGCCCTACCTTATGCCTGTCTTGTGGCGATATTTCTCCAGGACGAGCTCCTCCTGCAGGTCGGCCTGCAGTCCACAGTCCAAACAGTCCACGTGCTCAAGCTGCTCTCTTCTCTCTTCTTCGCGAGGCCTCCACTCCCTTTCTTTCTCTCTTTTTTGCGGGCATGGAGGCGTTCTAGGCCCCTCCAGCCGATGGCCGCCCTAACGCGGGCCCTGCGAAGGGGTGTACAACGAGTTCCTATTTCCCCCTCTCTCTCGCTTGCTTGCTTGCTTGCTTGCGAGGGGTCTGAGCAGCCCTTCCGGGGAACTGACACGTGGAAGGCAAGACAAGGCAAGACGACCAGCAGCAGCAGGCAGGGGCCAAGGGCCAGGGCCAAGGGCAGGCAAGGCAAGGCAGGGTTCAGGTCCGCGCGTGCAGACCCGCGCCAAGGCGCCCCTCCCTGTATGGTACTTTAGGGAAGAGGCTTTGGGGTTGTGAGGGCCGTGTTTCCCCCCGACGGATTGTTCGTGTTGCAGAGGTCGGTTGCTGCAGGAGCCCCCCAACCCTCAACTTTTTAACCTTTCCTCAGGCCTCATCTTCTTCCACAGAGCATAAGGGGCGTCTGAAGCCCCCCGGCCACAAGGGCCCCCCCCCCCCGAATTTACAGGGGCTTTGGGAGGATTGTGAAAACTACACGCACCGATGAGGTCCCACTCTTTCGCGTGTTTGGGCCCCCGACTGTTGCGGAGCGACTTTAAAAATCAGCCACTCCACACAACCGAAGTGACGGCAGTTTCACCGACACCGCACAGAACTGGAACTACCTCTCCTCAGTTCAGTAACTCACCACATGAACATACACTCTGGCACATCAGCATCTGGTACTCTCCCATCTCATGTTGTTCGAGGCTTCCGAAGGGCCCGGTTCGGGCTGTCTCGCTCTCTGCGTCTCGCGGTCTCGATTCAAGCACAGTTCCGAGAACCGGCAGCCCGGCCTGACCGTGCGCCTCTGCATGAGCCTGCGGCATCCGAGCTCTTGCCTCTCCGAAAGGCACAGGGCTGGGACACCTTCGCCACCGCAAGCCCGTCTTATTCACCTGACCTGACCATCGAGCGGCCGAAGCTAGAGAACGCCAGGAGTCGCCACCAGCGGTGAGCACATCACAAAGGGGTGTCTTAGGTTGCTTGTTTGCATGCTGAGCCTGCTCTGGTGAGGGCTTGCAGACTCAGTGGAGTTGGATTCCTAAACTCGTCCGACTCCGAGCCAACCCTTCACACATGCAAGTCCTGAACAATCACGAGGATGACCGGGTATGTGACGGAGACAGCTGTTGGGCGGGGAGCCCCGGACTAGCCAGCACGCGGCAGACTTCAGACTGACTCTGGACAAAAAGGGAAACCGAAGAGCGCAGCTAATGTTGCGCAGCTTGCCGACGTGGAATGGTACCAAAGCCTACCAACTATTGGAATGCCTCTGTGTTTCCTTGGTCTTGTCGACTAAGAAGTGGTTGGTTAGAAAGGTGTTCATGAAGATAGTGGTCCAACTCCGGCCGGGGCAACCCCTTTAGGACTTCTTGCTCTATCCCATCAGCATGGCAGTGAGCATTTTGTGCCGGGCCCATGCGCTGCCGCAAGCCTGATAAGCAGCCACTGCACAGTCTTCGAAAGCCGTTTGGCGACATTGCCCTTCAAACAAGGACCTTGCGACTTTCACCTCGTTCCACGGGTGGAACCCCAACCTCCCCGCGACCCATGTAGGCATATTGGGTCAGCACTGAAATCTAGCTCTGACAACCAACCTGTGCCTTCCTCAACCGCCTGAAACAAAAGTTTCAATTCAGTGCAAGCCGGAATCTCATAATTCAGTGCCAAGGGTACTGATTCTACTCAGGCATGGTAAGTGGCGGTGGCTAGCCTGATCATTTATCGTGGCAAGTGCTGACTTTGCCATCAGTTTGCATCTGGCGACTGACGCCAGAGGCCAAACTCATTGCTGTTACCAACCATCTTGCCTAAATCCAAACTATGTGCTGATTCAGGATCATGTCGATGAGGCCCATCACCTTGAGCGCTGTTTTCACATCACAGGCATGGATTCTGCTGTACCAGTTCTTTCCTAGTACTAACTAATAGTACAACACAATTGCTCTTGCTCAAGAGTTCCTAACCTACTATACCACTACACGATACAATTAGCCGTGCCGGTACTATTTGCTAAGGACTGCGTCTGAGATTGCCATAGCCATCACGAGCAATACCGGTGCTGCCGGAAACAATCGCTGCTAAACTCCGCAGCCGTGGCAGGGAAAGAAGAAACCTCTGCTACTCTGTTGAGACCGGTTCCGTTGCTACTACTGTGCTTCGTATCGGTTTTACGACACTACCACTGCTGTTGCCAGCACTATTGCGATGAAGGGCACAGTGATGGCTGCTCTTCCTGTCCTCCCCACGTCCCACCACCAGCAGCAGCACCACCACCACACTGCTCTACTACGACGACGACCGTCCACTACCACTACGACTGCCTGTACTACTGTCACTACCACTACCACTACGACGACAACGACGACCGACACGCTTACTGCTTCGCCTCCTCCTCCTCCTACCCCCGACCACCCCCAGCAACAGAACAGCCAACACCTGAGAATCGTACCCCCACTCTCCCCTCCAATCCCTGAAGCGACGAGGAACGATTCGCGTATACCCCAATCTCAACAGAGCGTTCTGAGTCGACACGTGCCGGGCGGCAGTCTCTGCTACGACTGCTACGACTTCGCATTTTCGTTTATTCGGCTCACTGGTTTTTGGTCACCGCACATTGACATGTCTAGAACAAATGTTCGGCCTGACCCCCGACCTTCCGCTCGAAAGTGGATCAAGCAAAGGTGCCGCGTAGGAGATGAAAAACTCGGATGCACGGGCCGGAAGACCTCTTTGGAGCTTCTCGCTGATACGGGCGAGAGTCGGGCTTTACTTCTTTGCTATACTGTTGGACGCTTCGTGTTATGGTCATTTCCATTGAAAGGTTGCGGTGCGTTCTGTCTTGGCAGGGCTTTTGAGGCTCACACTCGGACTAGTCCAGGCATGGTCTGAAGGCGAAACGAGCAACATGTCGAAAGGCCTGGAGCATGCCGTCAGCTGGGTGCCAGAGGGGAGAACTTGGGGTCAGGGCTAGGAGGGATGCAGAGCATCAAGATTGGGTCAGATCCTTGAGGTTGCCGAGAGTTAGAAGACCGACATGCTTTGCAATGAAACTTCTGGGACCACCGTCGAATTCTTCCGGCCCCATCTGACTCAAACAAAGAGTTATTGAGTTCTTACCGAAGTTCCGAGCCCACCTCGAAAACCTCGCGCATCCAGGAAAATGTGATGTCCTTGGCTTCGTCAAGGATCTGCGGTGATAGTGATGGCAAATGGCAAACGGAACATTAAGGCCATCAGTGGTACACACTACATACTCACAGAAGCAACGTCGACCCTGTGTGTTGCACAAGCCGGCCAAAGCAAACGAGTCTGCCGAGCCACGCATGCAAGAAATCGGCTGGCTGGGCGGAACGATCAGCATCCTCCCGGATCAGTCCCATGAGTGCAGTCGCAACACAGCGTCATCTCCACGCATCTGTCCCGTGCGGGCACTGCCCATTACTTAGTTAGTGTCCCTGCAATACTTCCCCATCGCATGAGAATAACTGCCATTCTCTCTCTCTCTCTCTCTCTCTACGGGGGCCCCCTAGCCCCGCGCGTCAGCACAACCCCGTCCACCATTGTCATGGAACGGCTCTCCTGTACTGGGATGGTCCCTCACTGCTTGTCGGGTTCCAGGTCCGTGGCAGCAAACAAGACAGCATCATCACTCTTTCGATAGCTTCGGGCAAAGACCAGCGCAACCGCCACTAATTTTCTTCATTACTTTCAGTCGTGTCAAACGTGCCATTGCCTCATGATATTTCGCTCTGTCAACCCAGCCATGTCCGTGGTTCTTCTCTCTCTGGTCGGCTGCTGCACCTTCACGATGGTGACTGGCAGAAATGCCAATGTGCTCGCTTCTTCGCGGGCAAAGTCTGGTTTAAGCCAACGTCCTGCCTAAAGACAGGCATCCCAGGTCAGACCCTTTTGGCGAGAAGCTGAAAACCTGCAAGCATGTCTCGACTGGTCCTGGCAACAGCTGTATCAGCCGGGTAAGCCACAAGAACCTGAGATGTGCACCTGCTCAGCCTCTCTTGCAGCCAGCATGCAGACATAAGCTGACTTTGCGGTACAAACAAGTGAACACACGTGCATCCCATGCGCAATGATCTGCGCAGTGTGACCACATCAATTTAAGCATCTTCAAACTCAGGGGGTGGCAAGCAAGCCGGCGAGGTTGCTCTTGGGGGCTGGCATAATTGAAGAATGGAAGTACTTTCCTTCACATCAACTTCGCCGAAGTCACTGCCGTCGCTGCCGCCATGCCGTAAGCCAGGGGCGGATTCAAATGCGCTGAAAGCGCGTCGCCTAGGCTATGGAGAATATGGACGTTTGGACATGTGAGGATAGCCTGGCACCACTCTGCCAGACTTCTGCCAAGATGCTTACTCACTTTTCGGCAAGCTTGGAACTCGTGCGGCAACCAAGATGTGTTGTTTACACGCCCCGATCGAAAACATCGTGTGCTGTCTACGAGATTTTGGCCGCTGCTCTGGCCAGTCATCGTACCGAAGCCGAAAAGGCCAATGCTCAGCAAATCTGCGGAGAAATGTTGATCTTGCTTTTGCACAGGCAACGATGAGTTCTCCAGCATTCCAAGGCCCACGCGCGTGCAAAAGAAGGTGCCGTCGAAAACCGACGAGCAGACCGCCTGCTTGACTTCTGTGCAATCCCCACGACAGAGAATGGCTGTCGGCTTGCATCAAGTGTCTGTTGGGTCCCGATCTACCAAGGGGAGATTGCACGCCCGAGATGTGATGACATCAACCCCAGCGACATGCTGAGAAGTCCATTATGCCGCTATGCCCCGAAGCTTTGCATGCGTTTCGAGATCCCAGGCAGCCGCGGCGTGCATCCGCCGGAGAAGTCCAGTCCTCGAAGCTGCAGAGAGCTTAGATGTCGCATCATGGAGTTCCCACTTTCTCGGCGCATCGCTCGAAACAAAAAGGGACCTAGTGGGCGAATCTTGCAGCTGTAGGTGCCGCAGCTGGCCGGCGCGTGCGGCATCGGAGATAAGATGGCCAAATCCTGACAGCGGCTCCCGTCAACAAACATTGACACTGCGGCTCAAAGTCCCCTCTGCTCGCTTCCAAGAGGCGGGCGCCCACCGCGTCGACGACGTATTGGCTCAGCAGCTTCTTCCTGTACTCGGAGAGTGCCTGAAGGAAGCCTTGGCGGCAGAATCCCAGGTTGGCTCGGCGATCAGACAGGGCAGGGAACAGCGTGCCAAATTCGGCTGGGACTTCCGGCTTGAAGTCCTATACCTCTGCATGTGAGCCACCCAAGCCCCGGTTCAAGGGATCAAAGGGGAAGGCAACTCACCAGAAATTGCGCAGTTGAAGCTCTGGCAGTTGGGAGCTCGATTTGGAAAATTGTCCGAGCTGCTCAGGAGGCATGGAACGAGGCTTGGGGTTTCGGGCGTGGGGTCTTCCGGACGAATGTGCTGGGCCCACTGCACATCTTCGCAGCTGGCGTGTTCAGCTTCCAAGCTCTAGCTATGCGACCTCCCCTGTTCAAGACCACATCGCCGCCACGCGGCCCACCACGTAGCCGCTCAAAACAGAGCCGCCTAAGCGCCGAAGCATCGACAGTCGTGAAAGCTTGGTGCACAGACCCAGCTCCTTTGCTCCTGTTCTTACCCGAATGATTGCACCGAAGCTTGCATCACAGAAGAGCCAAGCCGCAGGCACGACTGCCCAGCTCCCCAAACCGGAGGTGCCGTGCCACCAGCTGGGTTGACACCTCCGGATGCTCACGACAGCACCAGTACGGGATCTTTCCACAATGCATCATCAAACTGAAGGCCCTTTTGCTGTTGCTGCCTTCGCGAGTCTGCGTCAGATTTGTGAGCGCAAGCTCGAGACTTATGCCAGTTAAGATTGTCACCAATCGCGATAAGCACAATGCTGCTCGTCGGTGCACGACCAAACGTCCCAACATTTCGTCTTGCTGCGCGACACACTGCAGGTACAGCGAGGGTGTCTGCTCAGCTTTTTTGCAGGTGTGTTGAACGGAACACTGTGCGACCAGTTCCTACACGGCAACTCCCCTTTTGCTGGCCTCCGAGACCAGGAACATAGGCCCGCGGGAGAGAAAGCGCTGCTCCAGGGCGGGAACTAAACCTCCCAGGGGTCCGCGGAAGAAGCATAACTAGTTGGACCTTCAAAGCCGTGCTCCTATTGCTACTGCCAGCTGCAAAAGCGAATATGGGGGGTTTGTTGAGAGTAGGAACTATGACCAAGATGCTGCCCATAAACAAGTATGGCGAATGATAACGGGCACAACACATTGAAGCCCACCAGCGGCCTTTGTAGAACCCCCTGTATCCATGTTCGCGGTGGACCCCCCGGGCTGCATCCAGCAATGTGCCTTGATACTGGGATCATCATCACAGGCTTCAGGTGCTCAGTGTGGGCACAAGCTGGGAAGACCCCGCTAGCGCCGACTACTAAGCTTTGCCGAATGTTCGAGGAGTCTCTGTGACTTCCAACAGCTACCTTTCTGAGGCCAGGAATTCCCCAAAAGCAGTTGCAGCATCTGAGGTGCCTTTGTCGGTGGTCTGCAGGCCTTAGCACGCAGATCAACGATGTGAACCTGAAGCCTTGGCGGACCAGCAGAAGAACCGCAAGCAGCCTTGAAGAGCAGAGACGAGGAAAGCTGGCAAAGGCCAGAAGTGGGAGTGCAACAGCAACAGCAGCAAGCAGCAGCAGCAAGCAGAAGCCGCAGCAGCAGCAACAGCAACAACAAAAACACCACCACCAACAACAACAACCACAACAACAATCACAACCGCCACAACAACCACAACTAACAACACCAACAACACCAACAGCAAACACAACAACCACAAGCAAGCAAAGCAAAGCAAAGCAAAGCAAAGCAAAGCAAAGCAAAGCAAAGCAAAGCAAAGCAAAGCAAAGCAAAGCAAAGCAAAGCAAAGCAAAGCAAAGCGAAGCGAAGCGAAGCGAAGCGAAGCGAAGCGAAGC